TTCAATTAAAAACTCGTTTGCGTTAAGTAATTTATAATGTCGTCAATTTCTAAAACGGTTCACTTTAATATTTCACCTAATTTTCTCCCTCAAACTTTCCATTAATAAAAACTGACATCTCAACATCGGAAATGGGGCAGAAACGTATTATATCAATTGACAAATTAATTTTGCAGGAAGCTACGACGCCGGAAAATGCGGAAAATGGAGCAACGGTAGACGACGGAAGAAACTTCTTAGAGCGGAAAAGTACCGAGAAGGAGGCAGCGCGAAATAAGCAAAACGAAGGTAGATTCGAGAGAATCGTAAAGGAGACATCCAACATTCTCGGCAAGGCATGTAGCGTTGTAAAGGGTAGCTTGGGTTTCGAGGCGAGGTCAGAAAGCTCCGATCTCGGTCTTGGTTCCGAATCCGGTAGCGATTCTCGCCGAAGATCGGTGGACGATGGTATCGAGGACGACCGGCCGTCAAGAAAAGTAGAAAATTCCAATAATTCCGCCACACTAAGAACAGACGACAGTAAAAAATCGCATACTAATCTCACCAGGTCTAGGAGTTGCGTGGATTCTATAGAGTGCCAGGATGACGGTCAGGAGTTCGATCACGTGCGCTACAAGATCGTAAAGTCGCATATGTTCAGCAAGAACATATTCAATACCGCTCGAGGCGATGTTACGTATGAGGGATTGATGCAATATCTGCGCGAATATTCGTTCCAAGAATTGCTGATGGATAACAACGTTGTCATTATTGAGCCGGTTCGCGCTGAGACGATAGAGCGAAAATCGTCATCGTTGACCAGAACAGAACCCAAGTGCAAGATCGCTGGTGCGATCCAGAAGAAATCGGAGAACCACGAGAAAAATGGCGAACGATCTGAGAGTGGCGGCACTGCTAAAAGCTCTAGGCAATCATCCATTAAAAAGCACTTCTTCTATCAACCTATACGAGTGAACCGTGAGCTGATTGACGAAGAGCTACCGGATCCGGATACCGTCAGAAACGTGAGACGCATGTTCGAGAACACTCTCGAGAAAAAGAAAATAAGCGATGCCGAGTTCTCTAGAGATGACAAAACTAGAAGAAGTGTCAGCATGAAGGATTTGACTAGCATCGACAACAATCGATACGACGAAATATCCGACAAGACACGCGAAGAAACCAGGTAGCGTAATAATGAATTGAATGTCGTCGACAACAAAACTTTTATTATTCATAATGCGGATGCGAGTGTTTTGACTATAAATATACCTTATAGACCAACTGTTTAAATACGTTAGTTGAAGCGGATGAATTAAACGAGGTGACGGTACTCTAGATAAATCAACCCAGATAACGTTATGTTTAATGAGATGGCAAATGGTGATGAAGTTTACGTTGGAACGTCTGTGTGTTAAATAGTTCTTATTCGCGATTAAGCGTTTTATTAATAGCGTTTCCTAAATCGAAATTTCATTATAGGCGATTCTAAATAAAAAAGTAAGTCGTTTGTACTAAAATTTATGTATTAATGTATAGCCAAAGCTTTAAAATTATTCATTCATTCTTCGATCATTCGTGAACAGCTGCCATAACCAATATATTATGTTCAGATCCAGATGTTCCAGCAGAGCGAAAGATCTCACAAGACTCTTCGAGACCAAGTCCGCGTCATCGACCATTTCCATAGCCAAGGAGGAAATCGGAAGCCCACGATGTGAGTCGAAAACGAAAATTCTCGCGCAAAGTTTCGAAGCTAGAAGCGGAAACACGTCGCCAAGTGGCTCTAATTGTTCTAAGAACAAAGTCGGTCGTTATCATCATCATCATCATCATCAAAACTGGGATTCCGGCAGCGTGAGTTCCGGCGTGTCCAGCGATTATCCTGACACTGATCCCGGGAGTGGTGCCCATTGCACATCGTCCGATGACGAAGATGTGAATTGCAACGATAACGATGCAGATGCGAGTGGTCCAGGGCATTACGTGTCTCAAGACGTACTGCGGAAGATCCGCGAATGCGGCACTTCTATAACTTACTATGGCGGGAAAGTGGTTAATATGTACAATGGGCCATTAGTTTCGCCATTGATCGGTAATGGCTTCAAGCGAATCGACGAATCGAACGATTACGTAAAGTTCAAATTGGTGAAGAGCAACTCTTGCGATAGTAGGCTGGAGTTAACTGGCAGATTCGTCGAGGGACAATCGTTACGTCGCAATCGGGATAGATGTGCCGATCTTAGACAATGTACCATCGCGGAAACACCCAGTATCGAGATCACATCGATCGATAGCAGGCAAAAAGATGAGGTACAGAAGGATGAGGATATCGAGCAAATTAAACAGATGAAGAGGGAACCTCCGATGGTGATTGGTCTGGAGCCAAAAAAAGAAGATTCCAAGGAATCGAGGAAGATCTTCAAAGCTGACTTTAAACTGGGCGATCTGGACGACTCGAGATCCAATTATCCGAATAGATTTATGCCAAGCGCGTTGACGAGGTGGGAAGTGAATTCGAGCTGGAAAGTCGGTAATGATTTCGGGAAAATGGAATTCGAAGAGTTCGAGGTGCTCGAAGATAGTCTCAATGGAATCAGTGAGCAAAACAAATACACGGAAGCATCCTGAACGAAGAGTTTCTTGTATAATATTTATTTCTGTTATGTGATTGGAACGAACGATAATAGGAGATATAACGTTGCTATTATTTTTAATGAAATTTAATGCGTAAAGATATTTCTTGGTATCATTGAAATGATACTTTCTTTTGTGAAAAAAAAAAGTCAGTTTTGAAAAGATAATTTTTAATCGCAATTCAAATAAATTGCTAGAAATAAAACAAAGAATTAAAAAAAATTTTCTAGCGAATGTTTCTAACAGCAAATAATGAAAACCTTGCAAGAATATACATTGATATAGTCACAGTAATTTATTGGATACATAAGTATCCAATATCGTTCAATTAGTTTATTATTCCAGGTGGATAGTCCACAAGAGTCATATTAGAACACGTAACAAATATTAATACGTATTAAAATATAATATATATAGTATGTACTATTGCATATAATACACAAAGCACACATGAATGATCGATGTAATTTATACTAAATGTGTAATAAATAATCATATGTATAATAATCTTATTTATTTATGTTTTTACTATTCTTCTTTTTTTTTCTCTTTTCAAAAAAATACAAATTATTAAGTGTTCACTTATCATTGAAATTAAATAGAGATATATCTTTCGATTTTACTTTCATAACATAAATTTACACAAAAAAATGTTGTAATTATTCCAAATTTTTTATTTGCAATCTACATTCAAACCATCTCGTTGAGCCAAGAACAGGATAAATATCAGATTATAAAAACTACGTCGAATGTCACATATTTCGAAACGCAAGTCTCGAGTCAAATGATATATTGATGGTAAACGATGCGATGTTATTTTCAACATTATGTATTCGTGGAAGTGTTGATTTATCGATTCTTTTTAAGATTTAACTACCATGGACTTCAAGGAATGTCTTGGTAAAGTAGGATTCATCATGTAGTTAGGAATGCCTTAATGTATTCATGATGACTTGCATTAAATAATATGATCGCAAGTTTTCAAGCGTTAATTGACGATACAATATTAGAATGTTTCGTTATTACTATGAATAAAAAAAACATTATTAATAAAAAGTTCTCAAAATAATTTTTGTCATACGCGTTATAAATATATATAATTATTTAAATACAACAATGTTCCAATTTGCTAAGACAACGGCGTAATTATTGATTTATCTGAAATGTATGTGGCACAGTAGTAAAGTAAGAATCACAAAAGTTTCGGTGTGAATCCGACGTCAAGCACATAGATTGCAAGACCAAACAGTGCTATAAAGCGTACATTGTGAACTTTACATGATATGATGGATACTGTGTAAACCGATCTTTGCGTAGGTGTTCTCGTTGGACTTTGAGCAAAGAGTATCATGAAACTTTTCAGTGTCTCCGTGTGAAAAAGCGTGCTTTCTATTTTGTATTCAGGATTGAAAAACTCCACGAATGCTTCGTTTTATTCACTTTATGGGTCTCATTCCCTTTAACCTTTCGTTTGAGAATGTAAGTAGACGCGATGATTTAATGTTTTCGTCATGTATGTAATACGATAAGAATTATATGTATATCTTGTATCGTATATTTATATATTTGATGCACCAGCATGTTTAAAAATGTGCTAATAATATTAAGAGCATGAATATTTTCACATTCTTGCAAGAACATTAAGATTGTACATTGTGTAACTAATATTACAAATCTATCTAATATCGAAAAAATTATAGCAAAGATAACAGCTAGAGCAAATAAAGTTATCTAGATTTCTATTGAAAAGTTCTTAAAGGAGATATATTCTTTACAGAATGAAAAAAGTTTGTGTAACAAAGTTTTATGTGTTTCAAATCGCTACTCAGATGAGAGGCAAGATATGTAATGTTATGATCGTCATTTTGATATAAAAATGGCATATTAAAAACATCATTTTGACGCCAAAATAATAAATAATCAGCTTGCTATCTAAATAGAAATATATATATAAAATAAATTAGAGAGAGTGTTAATTATGTTTTATTAATTACAAAAGACTGTAATCAAACAATTTTCATCGAATGATGAACTGAAGACTGCTCTATTTGCTGTCTGGAAGAATTTATCCCTAGAAAGATACGCGATCATCGAAAGATGCATTCTCGATACAAGATATAACTAACAGTATAGAATTTACTTGTTTTAAAAGTACGTTATTATAATACAATTTAATAAACACAAAACTTAGTGGTCAAGACTTTTTTATCACCCTGTAAGTCTATCGAATATTAGGATAGAGATCCTGCAAATTTTGATGTTTTCAAGTTACATTAATCCTGCCACGAAATAAAATCAAAAGAAATAATTTTACAAGCGTTATATGAGCAATACAATATATTTGTTGGTTCAGTTTTAATAAATGGAATAAGTAGATAACTCACCGATGCTCTCAGTCTCCACTTTTTCTGCTGACGTTTTCCTTGCAGTTTTCTTCACTTCTCTTTCCGTGGCTTTAGGCTCTTTTAGTTGCTTCATCAGAAGTGGATTTAACTTTGGCGAGTAGGAATTGGCCGACAGGGAGACGCTCCTCTGAGAGATGTGCCACCATCGTTTGCACCATGTTTCCTGAAACGCGCAACAGCAATTTCCGTTGTTACTCACGCGATATTTTCAAACAAGTATATGAATCCGGAAATTTGATTGGCGTATTATGAGAGTTCAACAAAGTTAAATATGTATGGATTGAACGCAGATTTTCAATTGAGCGTGCAATCATCGAAGTTTATCGTCGGTTCAGTCTCTTCATGGCTCATAGTTCATTGATTATCCGATAAATTATAACACAATAATTTATAGACAAAGCGCTTCATTAAATCGAGGTTCATAGTTTTGCTTTAATTCGCTTAAAATTAACAATCTTCGGGAGAATGAACGCATGTAATCGCAAGAGATTAGGGTATTGTACTCTTAATATCATACTTACATATTACTATTAACAAGCTATATTGCGTAACATATAATATACTGAAAACTTTGTCATTTTTGTAATTTTCTTTAACTTATTTTAGCTTATTTTTTGAGAAAAGTTTTCGAAAAATGTTTTGTTCAGCTTATATATATTATTATGACTATGTACGCTATTGTTTTATTTTTCAAGTATAGATACTCGAAAATACGTTAGTGAAGAAATCTCTGCTTGAAAAGCACGCATAATATTTACTTCAGAGCATGGAAATGCAATATTGATTGATGAAAAGCCTGTCCAAAATATAGAACGCTTGATACAATCAGAGTTTAACAGCAAAAATGTAATCATGGTACATACCGTGAGAGACCGTTATGGTTTCGCATTATAGGTAATTAATATAATAATAATTCGGGACAAAAATACTTCGTATAACGTAACTGTTTTTCTATTGCACAAAAATTTTTAATTTGATTATATAATAATAAGTAGCTCATGTTATATGGAATATAATATTACTGATTATTGGATTAAATAAAATGGGATAAAACGGTACAGATTTCTATTCTCAGGAGAGCGTATCCCCTATTTCAATGGCTTTATTGATTCTTCAAAAGAAAAAGAATCGTTATTTTTAGGCAAAGACGGAAAGAGTCAATTGAGATAAATGGATAGAGAGAACAGAAAAAAAAGAAAAAGAAGGAAAGAATAGAAAGAGAAAGAAAGAGATAGAAAGAAATAGAAAGAAAAATAATACGTAAAAATAAAAATGCAATACATTATAGAACGCAGCGCATTTTCCTTCTAAACTTTATTGTAGACCAGAAAACTGTCTTTAGAGTTCATCATTAATTCTGTAAAGTTCTATAGCGAGTAAAGATCTGAGAGATAATAATAATGTATTTTATAAAGTAACAAGAGGTAATAATGGATTTTATAAACTAACAAGAGATAATAATAATGTATTTTATAAAGTAAAAAGGTTTTCAAATAATTACAAAAAAAAATGATATATTATAAATCGGTACAAATAAAAAATATACTCGATTACAATACAGTTATACTTTATATCCAATTTATATCCCAATTATTGTAATAGTTAATTAATTATAATCCTGCTACTTTTCAATGACTAATTTTTTATTATTCTTCGTAAAAAGAGCAAGTTCTTAGAAATTACATTGCTTCCTATTGGTTATAAATTGAAAGAGGATATTACTTTGGAAGAAATATTCATTTTCACACATATATTTATCTACAGTCACTAGTAATTTTTTAAATAACATACTGAGTTAAGTACCTTAATGTCAATGCTCATGTAAATAAAAATTATAGCTGGACATATGAGCAATTTTTTGCGGACATGCTTCGCCAACCAATATTACTTCTGTAATATTGTTTCACACACGGATCGTGAACGAATTGTAGATATACATTGTGCATCGAATTAAAGATATTGATGCAGACAAATTTCTTCTTACAAAACCAAGGAACCATTTAAATGTAAAAATTTTGAAAATCATATCTATTGATATCTCTTTCTTTAAAAGTGTGCAACCCTTTTTATATCGGTTTCCTGTTATCTCCGCTCTAGTGGCCTAGTTTCTTCCTGCATCTCTTACTTCCGATGCGTTTACCCCGGCGTAGTCTCAGCAAAGCGTCACCATCGATTTCACTGCGGCATCCACGGGAACTGTATTTGCACCTTGCTGTAAAAAGACTGACTTTGAAATTTTTAGCAAGTTGCGCGCGATTGCCTGTGAAATGCAAATGCATCTATTGTATGTAGATGCTTCGTTCTATATCGACGATATTTATTATTGTACAGTGTCCACCGTATATCTCAATTGCAGACGTACTTATGTACAATCGAATGATATAAATTTATAAACAGAATGTCTTTAAATAAAAGAACACATGTAGATTGTCTATAGCGTGAATTAAAAATTTAACTGATATACGCTCTAGCGTGGTATATTACTGAAATTAACGTAAATCACATTGAGAGACACGCCTATCATTAATTATCTAATAATTAAGAGTTAAAATATTTTTTCCAATAATTCCCACAGAGAGAAAGAAAAGAGAGAGAGAGAGAGAGAGAGAGAGAGAGAGAGAAGGAAGAGAAAAAAATGTTATGATAGCATGATTTTAAAATAATTACTCTATTAAGAAAAACAAGACTCCGATTTAATTGAGGATAAAAAAGCTTTTAGTAGAAACAAAAAACAGAAAATAACCCTGTTATTTATCTTGAAATCCGTAATCTCTTAGAGTATCACGTTTCTTAATCTATACGGATACATTTAGTCTGCTTTTCAAAACAAAAATAAAGTCCACCTATTCCAAGGAATAACGTTACGCGCGTATTCACTTTCTATCAAATTGAAAGACGTGTCCAATTTAAAAATTAACTTGGGTGTGTCTATAATTTTCACGAAATGTGATAACGCAAGGAAAATATGTGTTCTTAATTTAAGTGTATTTTTAATTAAGTATTTCTAATTATAGTGTCTGTGATTTACGAGCACTTGATATGCGTGTACTATACGTCTATAATCTACAATACAATTTAATCCTGCTGTTTAAGGTCGCTAGTCAGAATAGAAAAGCTAGTTCAAATAGTCTGATAATTTTTATAATTTGAAATAGGTTCACTAAAAAGTACAGAGTGTTTAAAATGTTTATGTTTAAAACATCTTTGCAAAACAAACATTTAATAATAAAACATATTTTAATTCTAAACTTTTAATATTTTAAATCCAAACACATAGTGCTCTATTTATTGAAAAAGTTTAAAATTAAAATATCTTGAAATGTGTATTTAAAAAACGGAGAAAAAAATGATAAAACAGTTTAATATTTTAAAATTAAATACTTTTTTTTAGTGTCATTGTCAAGATTCTATCAATAGAATAAAAATAAATTTAATAAAAAATATAATAACCTTTTTAAAAAATACTAACATTACATTAGGCGATATTTATATATTTTTGTAATATAAGAGAAATATATTTTTTAATAAAAATTTTAGATAATTTAAAAAAATTTACTCAAAACAAATATTATAGACTTTATTACAATAAAAATAAAAAATAGTTATTAAATAATTATAAAATAATTTATAACATAATATATCATTAAATAATTGTGAACAGAAAATTTTAAATAGAGTATTATTGTTATATCACTATTATATCGCGGATTATTTTCTACTTTTCTATAAAAAATATTTTACAAGGCAAAATGAGATACATGTTTATATAAGAAATATCAGTACAGAACTCGGTCAACTTGGCGTAACTCTTTAATTGGTTACTTGCGAACAGTGCAAATCTGCGAGGTGCTGAATTTCACATACGCGGTTATCGCGCGGTTTTCATACCAGCGTAATAATGAAAGAGATATACCGAAAATCAATGTAGGAATTCAATATCACTACAACTCATGTATATTCACATAACTTTTCTCGACTCTTAGCACTATTAATAGTCAGAGATCAAAGATCTATTTATATAAAGATATTAATTTGAATTTAGGCAATCTTTTGAATTTTCGTCATCAAAAGTATATTATGCATTGTTATATTGAATAAAGTCACACTACGATGGCAAAGTTGAAACAAAACGCACATTTTTACAAACATTTTGCAGCTTTTAATTAGCGCATTGAGATTACATGATTTCATCCTCTATTTAATCTTCCATCGACTCTCGTGTTACATGCCATTATAACTTCGTTTCAAACCGGGTCACCATTTTTCACTACACAGTATTGTAAATGTGAAACGTATATATTTCAACTATCTCTGATGAAAGAAACAGTAACATGTTATAACTGTTGTAAAGAAATAAATGTAATATATTTACACACATACAAAGATAATGTGTCTTTCTTTCATCCATGACGCAAATTGCGTGTTAGAAGATATACAGAGGTACAATAAAGTAGAAAATCTCAGGAAAACATTTTCTTGCGATGCGGCAACAATAGTAAAAAAATGAATTGCAAAAAACCGTTATCGCTTTCTTCTTTGTAATATAATAAACTATTTTACAATAAGCAAGATAATATAAACTCTTTATAGTATTAGATTCATAGTAATAATTTACTAGACAAACAACAAAAATTTGATTAAAATGTACTGAAGAAAAATTTTAGTTAAAATGACCGAAACAAAACTGTAATTTTATGCGAACTGAATTGTTTACTTGATATAAACAAATTTCTTGTTATTTACAAAGTAGAGAAATTATTTTGTAAAAGCAACTGAAATTTTTGTTATATAACAAAATTATTTGGTTCCTGTTAAAAAATGTCTTTAAACAGTTTGGCTGAAGGCATTCAACTTTTTTTTTGGTGTAAGCACGATACAATTTCGTTGGTTCATATACATAGAACCGATACGCCCTTTCGATCAACATTGCTTCCGACCATTACACAAGCTAAAAACATTTTCCGCACTGTATGTCGAGTGGAGCTGGACGCTGAGCTGGATCGATGACGTGATGTGATAATGGTAAAGCCAAGTGCTCGGCTTCAAACTAGAGCTTTCGTATTAATCCAACTTACGGCCTTTTTGCTTATCGATGTCTGCTAAAGTACATATACATCATAGCACGCACGCGATTGCCTATATCGTCGTGTCGATTAAATTCTC